TCTCTAATTGGTTTTTATCCTCTGGCCAAGTATAGGTCAAGCAGGTTATGCCATCTACAAATCTATCCCATATGGATCTGTGGAAGAGGTTATCCCTTACCTGATCCGGCGGGCTCATGAGAACCAGAGTGTGTTGCTCGGGATCCGAAAAGAACGAGATCTGCTTTTCTTGGAGCTGCAGAGACGGATTTTAAGGAGGCCCTGATGGAATTTGCATTAATTAAAGACCATCTCTTTTTTCCCCTAGAATCATAGGTACTTCCAAACCAGGATCTAACAGAAAGTTTAGATATTATGATATTACATTTCTTAAACTTCCTGTGCTTTCCTACTTGGGCTTCCACTCCTTTTTCTATCGCAGAAGAGCCATTAAAAATGGAAAGCTGGAATAGGTACCTAGCATTTTATTTGTTGTCAGTGTTAAGTCTATTCCTGGTTATCTCAAACTTTCTTAATCACTGTTATTTAATAATTCTCTAAAGAATTGATTTCGAAAAGCCTTGATGATCTACTCTAGTGGTTCTCTACCTTTTCTTCACCACGGACCCCTTTAAATACAGTACCTTTTATGGCCACTTAACATGGTTAAGTACCACCCAGACATAACTCAAGATTTAAATCATAACATTTCTTCAAGTCTTTGTGAACCACCTGTGATGGCATCATGACCCCCTCCAGGGGTCCAGGAAGCTCAGGTTGAGAACCACTGATCTACTCCAAATTCCAGATGGGTTTCAATAGGTTACTTATATCAGCTTGGCTCCTTAGCTACTGTACTTCTCCATTTTCTTCTTCAAAAGAATTTTCAGAATTGGTTGAAGATTGTTTGCTTATAACTAAGTTTGCTGGCCAAAGGACCTCTTGGGCATGACACTCAACTGTGGAGTGTTTGGTGGAGTTTCAGTGCCCTGATACATTTAAATAAGATTATAAAGATTAATATTAAGATTATGCAACCCAACTGCATGTTTCCTTCCTAACAATGACTGTTTACAAGATATGAGTAATCTTAGACATAGAAACTCTACAACAGCCATTCAGTGTTTGCTTGTAATCATTCTGCAATCATCAATTAATTCCAAGGTTGGAATTAAGGTTGAGTTTCAGGTGAATTTTTAATCATCAGTCAAGGTCACCAGAAGCACCAGGAGTGGGAATAATTTGTCTGATCTTCCTGGTCTTCCCATTTTCCCAAATTCCAAAACTTTCCACAAGTTTTACAGTCAGCTACAGGGTGCATATCATTTGGGAGAATGCAATTTGTCAAGGCAGATCTTGTTCCCTTGTTTTCTTGATTCTAGGATTGACTCAGAATAACAGAAAAACAGAGTTGGAAGGGACTTTGGAGGTGGTTTAGTCCAACCTCCTGCTCAAGCAGGAAACCCTATATATTCCAGACAAGTGGCTGTCCAGTCTCTTCTTAAAAGCCTCCAGTGATGGAGCACCCACAACTTCTGAAGACAAGCTGTTTCACTAGTTAATTGTTCTCACTATTGGGAAATTTCTCCTTAGTTCTAGCTTGCTTCTCTCGTTGATCAGTTTCCATCCATTGTTTCGCATCTTGCCTTCTGCTGCTTTGGAAAATAAGTTGACTCCCTCTTGTTTATGGCAGTCCCTCAAATATTGGAACACTGCTATCATGTCACCCCTAGTTCTTCTTTTCGCTACACTAAACATACCCAGTTCCTGCAACTGTTCTTCATATGTTAAAGCCTCCAGTCCCCTAATTATCTTTGGGTGGAACTCATTTTATATATGCTGGGGGTTTTTTTCATTTTGCTCTGAGAATGAAGCAATCATAGTCACCATCTGATTCTAGCAGTTTCCCAGGCCACTTTACACAGTGATGCAGTTGCAGTGAAGATTTAATGTGTTGGTATGTTTGTCAGCAGCTTTCAGCTGCTTCCCAACTGGTGTGTATTGTAGCTTAAATATGTGTTGACCTGTTTAAGCAAGGCAGAATGAAGAGTTGGGGGGGGGAGAAAGAAGGGGGCTGTGCCTTTATATAATGGGCTTAATGAAGTTCAGGTATTAGCAAACTCGACTTCCACACATACAGGCAGCACTAAACTGGATTAAAACCAGCTGCCCTGCTAAAAATGGTTAAAGACAGTAATCAGGACAAATGGGATTTTCTCTTGCCAGTGGGCTAAAATGAAAAAAAAATGCTGTGTGGAAAGAACTGGATGCCACAGCAGTATTAAAATTACGTTGGCCACATCCCCTTTAAAATTATGTTGGCCACATTTTCTGAAAACCTGTACCTTTGTTTTTAAAGGTAAGGGGAAATAAATAGAAGAATTTGGGCTTTGAGAATGTCAATGAAAAAATTCTCCCTTAATTAGGAGAATGAGAAAGATGTGATGGCTAAGCTCAAAAGCAAGTATTTAGGAGCCGAATTGAATCTCCAGGGACAGGAATTACTTTGGCTTACCCTTGATATCATCAGCTTCTCTTCTGGACCTCCCTCATAATTTGATGGGATGGAAAGGAGGGCTGGCAGCAGCAGCTTTGGTTCCCATAGCTCTTAATCTCAAAAAGATGATTGATGGAAGCCAGCCAGCCTGGAGCTGTAATCCTTGGAACAGGCTGGGTTAAACAAGGCCCTGGGAACCTCAGCAGGTCCACATGCTTTTCCTGGGCAGTGACACTCAAATACAGATGCTCAGGTTCTCAGCATAGTTTTTCAAAAGTTTCCATATTTTTCAAGTTACAAGAGCTGTCAGTTCTCCATTTAATCTCTTTATTCCTGCGCTTACGTTTTCCTTCAGGACAATGATCAAAAGCAAAGCCGTTTTTGATCAAGGTCATGTTTGAACTGCTGAACAGTGTTTTCGACCTCTGCAAATGTTGACTGATAATTGCTTTTGTTGGATTGTTAGAAATGTACCACTCACAGACTGAGAGAACTTTGTATAAGGAAGATTTTAATTGTACATTAGTTGAGAGAGTAGGGGACAGATCTGATGAAAGTAATAAATGAGAAAAGGAGACTCTGAGTTCTGACAGGTGTTGCAAAGTGGGGATTGAGGAAAAATCTTTTTCTGAGGGAACTGCGCTTCATTTTTAACAGTTGTAGGGACATGACAGTGATGTCAAAGTACCAATTGTATAGGGATACTAATGGATACTAATAGAAAATAGCTGCATGACATTTAGTGAAGGCTTAAAGCCCCCATGTTGAATTACACTTCTGAAAATCGGAGTTTTGTTAAACTTAAGCAATGTAATTTTAAGTCACAAAAAGTGGTTGGGGATTATATATGGATTTCAAATTGTCTATCCATGATTTGGGAAGAACTTAAGAAATCTACCTGTTCCCTCCCCCGGTCTCCTGTATAAACTGAATTATTTAATCTCACTTCACAGTTTAGACAGGGTCTTTTGTTCATATTATACAGCTCAAGACAGATTAAGTTGGGCTGAGAGAAGAGCAACAGCCAGAATCACCTTCCCATGGCCAAGAGTCTCTCCAGTCCTTGGGCTCATCCATAATTATGATTAACTGCGACATGAAGTTATTCTGCTGATCATTTTTAGAGAATATGTTTTCACAATAGTGTCTTCATCTCATCCCCAGCCTCCTGTGAAGGTATTTGTCTTTAGCAATTCCAGTTTATCAGTAGTGTTTTTTTTCTTCTGACCCAAGTCATCTTGTGTGAACATCCTATGATGACTCCTTAATGATGTGCCAGGGGCTGGATCTACCTAGTTTCTATCAGCTCATTTCAGGTTCTGCAAACACAAACTTGGGCTTCTTTCTTCTGGTTGCCTCTCTCCAATACCTTCCTTGAACATTTTGACTGGAGATAAAGGAGGGATCGGGCACCTGGTTTCGGGCAACTGTCGAATGATGCCTATCCAGTATTTCACAAAGCACCAATCAGATATTACATTCACTTCTTATATAAAGATTTAGCATTCTTCTGCAACACCACAGATTCTGTTTTTAACATGCATTTAGCAGTCTTGGGGAAAAGTATAAATCTTCATTAAAAATCAAGACTATCATTGTGCATAAGTTCAATTTAAACTAGAAATGAGAGTTGGGATTTTCTAGCTGCGGGTTGTTGGTTCTGTTCCAAATAAGTGCATTACAGATGTTCCACAGATCCTGCCAATAAGGGGTCTTACGCAGCCATGGTTTCTACTATCTTCATTTATTTGAGGAATGGAGACCTTTTACATCTCCAATGTCATTTTGTGTATTCTATTGGGCTGCTAGCAGTGGCCAAATACTGCCAGCACTGGCATTTTGAGATAATTGGCAGCTGAAATGAAATGGAGAAAGAGTTCTGCAAGTTTCCCCTTCTAACCCAAGCAACAGGAAGATCAGTAAACCTGTATCCAAAAGTAGACTGGATGATAGGCTGGTGGAACAGACAATGGTTGAACTAGGGAGAAGCTCCATTGACGTGCCCTGCAAACTTCCTTCTCTTAAACTCACATACCTCTTCTATCCCACTGACCTGTCCACAGAGATAGTTTTGGACACCAGTCTACAGGTTTTCTGGAATATTAGTAAAGCTATGTCCAAAAATAACTTGGTTGACAGGTTGGTGAGATGAAAAGGCCCAGGATAAAGCAGGAGGAAGCTCTTTCACTACTTCATCCCACACCTCTCCTCCATCCCACCAGCCTTTCAGATGGCCATTTTTAACACAGTTCTCCTGGTCTTCTGGAAGTTGGGTAGTTCAAAAATAGCCTGAATGTCAGGTTACCCACTTGAATAACCTGTCATTTGGGCAATTCAAAAGATGGCTACTCTGTCAGGCACCTGCCCACATTCTTAAAATCTTTGGATTTTAAAGACAGGCTTTGGTCTTTTCCTCCTTCTCTGGTTTGTGACAATGGGTAGAAAATAAAGGCAGGATTTTCACAAGCCGCCTTATTGAAGCAGATTAGAATTTGACTATGGGGTACAACGAATTGTGCAAGCATACTTCTTTTTTTTTTTTTTTGAAACTCAAGAACTAAAAAAAATGCACATTTTTTTTAAAGTGCAGTCTGTATTTTCACTCCTTGGAAGCAGAGGAAGGCCAATGGTTGCATCAGCGTGACATCATCGAGACAAATTCTGTAAGGGAAATAGCATGAAATAATATTAATACACTTGCACTAGCCGTGATTGTTTTAATATCAAATCCTTACTCCATCCAGGAAGTTTGCTTAATGACCTCAACTGATTTCTGCTTCTGATATGATAACGGGAGTTGCAGCTGTTAAGGATTAGAAAGCTGATCTACATGAAATTTATTATGTTGCCTGATTAGGTACAGATCAAAATTCTTTTGATCATATCATACAACTATGGAAATATTACATACACAGTCTTCATCTTAAGATGTTATCTTCTGATTTTCTGCCAGAAGAGGCTAATCTTTCCAAACTGCTGACCTCCAACTCATATCACCCCTCATTCAACAGCCAGTTCAAAAGGGGTTGTTTTTTTTCTTCCTCTCTATCTCCATTTTTGGCAATAAATATCTTCTTGGTATAAATCAGTATAATTATTACCCAAAAGGTTGGGGGAAAATAATGGATTGGGGTGCCACTAGAATGTTCCTCTTTTTTACATTTTAAAGATGGAGCACAAAACTCTTGAAAGAAAAGAGAAATATTCAGCTTAATAGGAAATATTACTCTATTTATCTTAGTCGTTCAAATTTCAAAAAATCTGCTGTGGATGGGGGGAAATTGCAGTTGAGCTCCCATTTCTGTGAAATTGGAACAACGTAATAATGTTCTAAATCTATTATCCAAACCCATTTAAGCCTGTATCTTGTCACTCTGTGCTTCTAAATCCTATCTCTCTAGAGCTTTAATACTCCAATCTCTCACCCTGATTTTCCTAAGCCTGTAATCTCTTTCCATCAATCTTATATTGCCAAATATCACCTTCAAAATCCACAGTCCCGTCTCCATTAATGTCAGCTTCCTTCACCATATCGTTAACCTCTTCAATGGTCATTGTCTCACTCATCAACCGTTGCATGGTCTGTCGCAGCTCAGTCAAAGTGATCTTGCCATCCCCATTTGCATCAAACTGGAAAGAAGAGCCAGAATTATTCAGACTATCCATGCACATTTTCTATGCTAGAACCAAAGGGAGGATTAGCTGTGGACCAAGGCAGTAATGACATTTGAGAGAGCAACGATCATTTCTCAGCTTCCGGAGTGTATTAAGGGACCAGCCTTCACCTTCCAGTGCAGGAATTGCTCCCTGCCAGAGGCCATAAAATGGCTATGATCACCTACCATCTTATATTAACAGTAGGATTGTTTGATATGCAATTTAGAAAAGACACAGCTTTCCTAAATATGTGAAAAGAGAAATGCTAATTGTAAATAGGTGCCTTGGTCTTAGCTGGGACAGCATTACTTTCTAAGCCTCCACTCTCCACAGGTGACATTACAGATTTAATTATCAAGATTCTAGTAAGGCTGATAGGGTTTTTTTTTTCCTTAGACCATTTGCACTCTCCAAGCATGGATTGCAAATGTCACCATCTAGCTAGCATGATCGTTTTCTGTACTGAATGGGACATTTTTAAATTTTACAAATTTAATTTCATCACAAGAACAATAATAATAATAATAATAATAATAATAATAATAATAATAATAATAATAATAATAATAATAATAATAATAATAATAATAATAATAATAGGTCCTGGGTAAGGACTCGATAGGTAGACAAAATGCCAAATCCAGTCTGAACATCTGGCTGACTGTGCGATGATCCATCCATAATAATAATAATAATAATAATAATAATAATAATAATAATAATAATAATAATAATAATAATAATAATAATAATAATAATAATAATAATAATAATAAAGTTGGAAGGGACCTTGGAGGTCATTGAGTCCAATCCCCTGCTCAGGCAGGAAATCCTACACCATTTTGGACAAATGGCTGTCCAGTCTCTTCTTAAAAACTTCCAGTGTTGGAGCATTCACCGCTTCTGGAGGTGGTGAATAGCTTGACTCCCTCTTCTTTGTGGCAGCCCCTGAGATACTGGAACACTGCTATCATGTCCCCCCTAATCCTTCTATTGGTTAAACTAGACATACACAATTCCAGCAACCGTTCCTTATATGTTTTAGCCTCCAGTTCCCTAATCATCTTTGTTGCTTTTCTCTGTACTCTTTCTAGAGTCTCAACATCTTTTTTACATCGTAGTGACCAAAACTGGATGCAGTAGTCCAAGTGTGGCCTTACCAAGGCATTGTAAAGTGGTATTAATATTTCACGTGATCTTGATTCTATCCCTTTGTTAATGCAGCCCAGCACTATGTTGGCTTTTTTGGCAGCTGCAGCACACTGCTGGCTCATATTTAAGTGATTGTCCACTAGGACTCCGAGATCCCTCTCACAGTTGCTACTATTGAGCAGGGTACCCCCTATACTATACCTGTACATTTGGTTTTTCTTGCCTAAATGTAGAACCTTACTTTTTTCACCATTGAATTTCATTTTGTTAGATAGCACCCAGTGTTCAAGTCTGTCCATGTCCTCCTGTATATTAAGCCTGCCTCCAAGATGGCTTCCCATGGCCAGCTGGAGAATTCTGGGAGTTGACATCCATACATCTTCAAATGGTTAAAGTTGAGAAACATTGCTCCAGTTGGTTTCCTCCAGATGTTTTGGAACTGCAGTTTCCAGAATTCTCTTTCAGACTTTTGAAGGAAAACATTAGGCCTCTCAGTATCTGTGGACACCATGGGCATTACGTCTATCCAGACAGCAAATGGAATGTGCTATTGTCCAATCCAAGAGGCAGCACAAAATGTACCAAAATTACCGTATTTTTCGCTCTATAAGACGCACTTTTCCCCCCCAAAAAAGATGGGGGAAAATGTCTGTGCGTCTTATGGAGCGAATGCCGCCTCCCACCGCGCCGCTCCGCGTCCCGCGCCTCCATGTTTCAAGCCTCTGTGGCACAGAACTGCTGGCGTTATGCTTGGGCGGAAGACGTTTTCTTTTACACATGGGGCGGGTGGTCCTGACATTCGCGCGCAGGCAGGACCCTGCCCGCCGAGCCACCGCTTCCCCATTGCTCTCCACGCCAGCCATCTCCATCTCCAGACCTCCCAGCTGACGGGCGCAGGTCCGGGGCTCACCAGCTGACAGGCGCAGGAGGTAGGCGCCACCGCGGCCTCCCAACCGCGCCACCGCAGCCTCCCAGCCGCTTGCTTCTTCAGCTGGAGCAATTGCAAGGGCTTGCATGGTCCCCAAGGGCCGCTGACGCGCTCCCCCGCCGCCGGCGACCATGCAAGCCCTTGCAATTGCTCCAGCCGAAGAAGCAAGTGGCTGGGAGGCCACGGCGGCACCTACCTCCTGCGCCCATCAGCTGGGAGGTCTGGAGACGGAGCCGGCTGGCGTGGAGGGCGATGGGGAAGCGGTGGCTCGGCAGGCACAGGAGGTAAGCGCGCACGAATCCTGCGTGCGAATGTCAGGCCCACCCGACCATGCAAGGGCTTGCATGGTCACCGGCGGCAGGGAGCGCGTCAGTGGCCCTTGGGGACCATGCAAGCCCTTGCAATTGCTCCAGCCGAAGAAGCAAGCGGCTGGGAGGCCGCGGCAGCGCCTACCTCCTGCGCCCGTCAGCTGGCGAACCCCGGACCTGCACCCGTCAGCTGGGAGGTCTGGAGATGGAGACGGCTGGCGTGGAGGGCGATGGGGAAGCGGTGGCTCGGCGGGCGGGGTCCTGCCTGCGTGCGAATGTCAGGCCCACCCGCCCCATCTGTAAAAGAAAACGTCTTCCGCCCAAGCATAACCTTTAAGGATTTTAAGGATCTTTGAGAGGGAGAGAGAAATAGAGGGAGAGAAAGAGGGAAAGAGAAATAGTATAGTACCGGTATGTGCGTCTTATGGTCAGGTGCGTCTTATAGAGCGAAAAATACGGTAATTTACTTGGTACACACAGCCAATTGCTATTTGTCCTTGGTAACTAGGCAGCTTGTTAACGGGGCAGTTAATGTGCAGAGATTGGAAGATTTCTGTACTGATGAGACAAAAAGGCCTAATAATCCCTTTTCAAATGCTATTTAGGACTGGCGAGAGTGGTAACTTTAGCTAGCTAGCTAGAGGCTGCAGCAACAGACTTTCCTGCTTCAGCCAGTGCCATCACACCTGTCAACACATCAGGAGTGGCATCCCTGGAGGAATTGGGGGGAAAAATGGCCCATTTCAGGCAGCACAGCCCCCAAATGTAATCACATTATTGCCTGTACCAAAGGCAGCTTCTATTACCCCATTTTGTGGATCAAACCCTGGGAGAAAAGTTTCAGGAAACAGAAGTTTTCTTCAACTTTATATGGAAGTCATAATCCATACAACCTGCTGACAAGTTACATAGGGGTGGGGGAAGACTGCTGAAATGGTTGAACAGACTCTTTCCACTTCGGTCAATGCTGCCACCCTGTGCAACGTACTATATCCCACCTACCAACACAGATTTCAGGGGATCTGGGAGAGAAAAGTAAATATGACATCCAGGCTTGTCGCTCACTCTCCACTACAAGTGATTGGATGGATAGGGGCATGCTCACACCAGCCAAAAGCAACTAAATTTGCTGGGCATATCCTACTTTCTTCTATGTCACCAGCTCCATCCCCCCTATGGGAGACATTAATTTCATATAGGATCAGAAATAACCAGAAATTGGCCTCAGCAATGGTCTGAAGAGAACTACTGGTACATCATGTAGACATATTCTTGAAGAGACATCTACAGAGGGTGTTTTAGATATGCCCTGACCTTTAGTCTGCTTCCTGTGTTTATGTCTACAATGTCTATAGAAATAAACGTATTAGAAGATGTTAGCTCCACTATGTGCACTAGACCAGAGGGAGGCAACCTTGGCTCTTTTATGACTTGTGGACTTTGACTTCCAGAATTCCTGAGTCAGCATGGCTGGTTCAGGAATTCTGGGCATTGAAGTCCAAAAGTCATAAAAGAGCCAAGGTTGCCTACCCCTGCACTAGACCAAGAAAATAACTTGACAGGAAGGTTCAAAATATTATACAAACTATAGTAATGGTAACTTTCAAGTCTGATGGTGCTTTATCTTCCCCCCTCCTTCAATACTTCTGTGAATTAAGGAAGAGTCTGAGCCATTTCTTCTCCCCCCCCCCCCATGCTGAATTGAGCTTGAATTATTCATCTCTCTGGGAATGGATCTGGCTTATCTCTGTCAAGGTCATTTTCTTTATTCTCTACAAGAGGCAGTCTCCTACAGAGAACTAGACATTGGGCAGAAACTATGGTTAAGAATAGATTGTCCTTACATTTTGTTTGTACAACCATAAGAAGCTGCTGGTCTGGGTGAAGCGTTTTGCTCAGATCAAGAAATTGGGACATAAACATAAGATAAAGAGAGTGCATCTAATCCACCTTTCCATTCTGTGCCCCACCATCTATTTTTACCTCCTTGAAGACATCTCTCATCTCTTGAAGGCCGATCATGCCCGCTGTTTCTGCCAACAGTTTTGGGGCCATCAGTTCTACAAAGTCCTCGAAAGCGACATGTCCTCCAACTGCAATGAGAAAAGTGACGTTTTATTGCTTAAAATGATTTTTTTAAAAAAACAAAACAAAACCCAAACACCAAGAGATTCTAGATATCTTGCCCTCAACTTCATTTCCCTGATTAATATCTAAAGCTGTTTCAGAGTATTGAGGAGAAAGTAACAGGGAACAGATTAATTCTCAAGTCTCCCACTTCCTAAGTACATCCCAAAGTATTATATTAATAATTTAGTTTTGGATTTGGTAAACACCTGGATAATTATTATTATTATTTATTTATTATTTATTGAATTTATATACCGCCCTATCTCCCTTACGGGACTCAGGGCGGTGAACAGGCGATAATAAAAACCACAATAAGAGACCATATGAGATCATTTCCATCAGAAATAGGAATGACATAATTGTAATAAATGCCCTTTGAAATGAGGTGATCTTCTAATCCAATTCTTGTTCAAAGAGCTCAGAAGAAGTTTCCCATTACCTTTCCTAAAAAATTGGGGGAGGGGGTGGTAGGGCAAGAAAGAATTAACACAGGCCTTTTGACTTGCTGTGGTCCTCATAAAAATCTTTTTCCCTTAGCCATTATTTTATTGTGAGAACAAAACAAAGGGAACCTTCTTCCCAATGCAAATAATTGTTTCAGAAGAGAATACTTGTAGTATGTTGGTAAAAGGAAATCACTCCTTCCTGCTGCAATCATCCCCTTCAGCACCTGATCTTTCCTCATTTAAAAAAGGTACAAATTAAACAAGATGTACTTATCATTGGGTGTAATTTATCCCTGAAGGGCAATCACTGGCCAGGGTTGCCCAGTAAAGCTGAAACATGACTCTTCAGTCTTAACCAATTTACACCAAAAGCTGATAGTAACTGCCCTTAATGAAAGATCCAGACTTTTTCTTCAGAAGTAAAAGCTTTCCTTTATAGACAACTGCACACCAAGCTAAGAGAGTGACTGGGAACTCATAGATTGCTAACAGTTGTTGACGTATGCTTCCCATCACTCAGTATTGGCTAGGATTGATACGGGTTGGAGTCCAGGGATATCTGGAGAGTCTCAGACTTAGGTTTCCCTCACTTTTTCCAACAAGGACTTACGATTCATGTTGATCTGTTGAGACAATTCTATGAGTTCCATCTCAGTTGGCATGTAACCCATTGTTCTCATGAGGTTGCCCAGATCTTTGCAGCTGATATATCCATCTTTGTCCTTGTCAAACTCCTGAAAGGCTTCACAGAGTTCTGTTTTTGCATGATGAGGAAAATGATGAGGATGATAAAGAATCAAATAAAATCATGGTTACTCAATCATGCTTCAGAGCGTTGTGGGAGCTCAGCCCTTAGCATGTACACCAGATCACCACATAAACCATAATATGATTTGCATGCTTGGACATATCAATTGTATTTTGTTAACCTGGATTTAGCATTTAGCTTGGAGCCATTTTGGAGTAGAATGACATAGAAGTGTCATTAATTGATTGACTGTTAAACAAACAAGCATGTTGTAAGAATCTCGCCCATGAATCTCATTATTTTAAACACCATAATAATAATAATAATAATAATAATAATAATAATAATAATAATAATAATATGATGTTTCTGCTTCATGCATTCTATGTCAATTTTCTACATAGAAACCTCCCACTAAAACTATATTTACGTGAGAAAATTAAACCAATTCTGAGCTTATTTTGATAAGTTAGACTACAAATAGCAGGTCCAGAAAGGTGTCTTCTTCACCATTGTTCTTCATGAATTCATTGGAGCACACAATTGATATTTCTCTTTTCTAACAGTCTCTAGGGGAACTCTGATGGGTACACTTTTTCAGGGAAGATTATCTGCTACTTATGTCTCTTTCTTAACCTTTCAAAGGACTTCAGCATATCTTAAAGTACTAAGTTAATATATTGGTCAGAATCATACATATGTACAAACAGAAGTTTGCACTTACCTTCAATTTCATCTCCACTCAGTTCACGTTGCTGTAACAAAACAAAACAAAAAAAGACCTTCACTGCAATACAAGGACATAAATAAGGAACTCAGAAGCCAAGGCTCACAATTCCAAACCTAGGAGAAAACTGCTCTTTTTTTTGGAACTGGAGAAATCAAGGCCAATGAAAATATTGCACTGAACGATCAGAAATCAGCAATATTCCAAAACAGCAGGTTATAATCCAAATAACTATCTGGAGATGGGCACGGTAAGACCATTGGGCTTTTTGATTCACTGGATCTTTTCTCAGTGCAATGGATAAATACAATGGCAAGCGAGTCTTACAACTAGTTGAGATACCTGCTAGCTACTGATTGCGGAACAGGCTGAGGTAGGCAACGGATGCTTTGATTAGGAAATAAAGAAGAACATTTGAGAAGACAGCCTAGACCAAGCTGCTTCCAACAGAGGTCAAAAAGACTCAGCTTTTTTTTCTTGTAAACTTTGCTAGTATTCAAGGCCACTGATTGAAATAAATTCCCCAACTAGAAAAGCAAAGAGAAGTTGGAAGGTAAGCATCACTTCACATGGACCACACTTATATTTCTGTCATCTCCACTGTTTGTAAACCTATGCAATTTGCCAGAGGTAAAAGTGGAGATAAAAGCGTTAGCAGTCATGTCTTTCAACTGCTTTCCTCTCTCTAATATATGCTCATATGTACATATGTTTACTTCTCTTCTGTCATGTTTTCATCATAGGCTAAATCAATCAATCAATCAATCTCTCTAATAATAATTTGTAAAATGCAATTGGCTCAGTCATCTTTCTCCTGCTTACAGTACTGCTGAATTACAGTACAGTTGAATTACAGCACCTATCCTTCTGGGCAAAGTGGTTGGGGCTTGGAGCCCAATACATTTTAAAAAGGTTGGGGAATGTTTCTTTAGGTTTCTTTTGAAGAAAACCCAGGCATCTATCTCACCCACCACCATTTCATATTTCTACTATCTTCTGCCCAGTTTGATCCATTTCTATTGCATATCCTGAATTTAAAAACAAAATACCTTCCTATGGCAGAGAGTGAAATCTGGGAATATTACAATCCTGCCCTGGATCGATTTTGATTAATTGCTCTTTCACAGAAAAAAAAAAAAAGAGGAAAAGTCCAGCCCAGTGCATTTCCCCTAACCTGTAGAGCTACCCCATCAATGCCCATGATCCAGTCCCCACTAGATGGCCCATACCCTCTGCTTGTCAGCAATGTTCTTGCGCAAGAAGATGCAAGCGGGTCCCAGGCTGTTCTGCATGGTGCAGAGAGATGTGGTTCCTGGTCCAGTCACCAAGTCCCCAGCCAGTCTGCTTGGCACCCAATCTTCAGCAGCAGAAAAAACAGCACTTTGGAAGAGACTGATTTATAGAGGGAGAAAGGGATCATCTCTTCTTCATTTCCGACCCCTCCTCCATCCAGACCTTTTTTGCTCTTCTCCTGGCTGTGACATCGATAGAATAAATCTCTCCTCCTTTGCCCAGATTAACATCTGCCACGTGGTGAGAGTTGGCAGCCTGGACTAGCTTGGCTTCTCAGGAAGTATGGAAAAGACGGAAGCTTCCAGAACATTAAAATGGGGTAGGAAAGGATGGATAGCCGGTTGTGTAGCCATTAAGCCATCAGGCTAGAAACTGGACAACTGTGTGTTCCAGTCCTGTCTTAGGCAGAAATCCAGCTGGGTGGGCCAGTCACTCTCTCTCAGCCCTGGAAAGGAGGCAATAGCAAATCAGCAAGAACACTGTGGGGACTAGTTCATTTGTCTGAAATGGTATAGGGTTTCCTGCCTGAGCAGGGGGTTGGACTAGATGACCTCCAGGGTCCCTTCCAACTTTATTATTGTTGTTGTTGTTGTTGTCAGTCATGAGGAATCAACACTGACTTGAGAGCACACACCCCTCCCAAACACACACACAAAACTCCATCACACACCCAAATACGCACACAAAACTCCACCACATTATAAACTATTTTAAAAAGTTTCGGTTTAAAGAATAAAGAAAATCTCCAGACTTTCCAAATCTCAGAGAAACCCCCCCCCCCCACATAAATAGGCTTTCTCCACTTTATTGGCATAGTTTTAAGGGTGTAATCACTATCTTGCCCACTGTGGCCTTCAGCCCATCCAAAAAATATAAACACATGGCCCTTAGCCATAAAAAGGCTGCCCACCACTATGTTAACATAGATACTGCTATGGCAGGCCACACATGAAAAGATGGACATGTTCCACCAAAGTCTGATTTGGCTCTAATTTGTAGAATCATTTGAGCCTTGAGTACTTTGGAGCAGTCATGACCTAAATCAACTCCTAAGTGTGCTTCTTAAAATTGCAGAAAAGGTGGTGGCAACTCCTAAGTTTTCCTGCCTGAGCAGGGTGTTGGACTAGAAGACCTTTAAGGTCCTTTCCAACATTGTTATTCTGTCAAGTTATGAAGTTATCTCAAGGGAGATGAGTGCAGTCTCTGGTACTCACCCTCTTGCTCAGCACACACCCACATACCACCAGCCACAAACATGTAGGAGACAAAGAAGACAAAGGAGAAGACAGCAGGCAGCAGGTCTCTTTCCTTGTGAATTTTCATCTTCCTTTACAGCTGTCATGGTAACCAGGTAGATTCTTCCTTCTCCTTCATTGGTTGCTAGGAGCTGGAGTAGAACCAAAGAGAGAGGAAGAGAGAGAAAGGCTGGTGCAGGGATGAGGGGCAGAAGGCTTTGAGGCAGTTGGGAGTGTGGGACATGGGCATGATGGGGTGGGAAGTGGTTGAGTTGGAATTAAAGACATGGATGGGGGAAAGGCGCTTGGATCAATCACCTGGGAGGTCAGGGAACGTAAAGAACGGTGGTAGCCATTTGGTGCCAAATTAGACCTTTGCCCACCTAACTCGGTATTTTATCCTAAATGTACTGGCACTGCACGTTCTCAGGAGAGTGGTTTGAAAGGCGACTCAGAGAGCTTCTGCATGCAACATGTGTGCTCCAAGGCTGAACAGTTAAATCTCCCCTAGAATGTTGGGACTCAGTTGAGAAAATAGGAATGTAAAAACCCAGCAAAATTTCCAACTTCCCTCTTGTCCTTCTCCTTGAAGACTTGCACCCCCCAGGCCATGCAGTCTGGACGCCGGGGCCGCTTGTCGGTGGCAGGGCCAAGCACCCAACCCCAAGAAACCATTACCAGCAGCCCCTCCATATCTGGTGATCTTCGGCTGCTCCACACAATGTAGGTAACTAAATGAAGGAGGTGATGATGTTTTCTTCTCCCCACAAAAAACTCAACTGCTGGTTTTCCAGCTGGCCGAGACCAAGTCAAAGTTTCTGGTTGTTTAAAGCTTTGGATAGGTAGGGGTGTCCCTATGTAAGGAGCATCCTTTCCCATACAAAACTCCTTAACGCTGGCTCACATGTTTCAACAGAACCCAGGCTGATGCTGCTCTAAGCAGCTGAAAAACGCATCTCTTCCTGGCAATTCCTATAGCTATGACATTTTCGGCTTGACCTCTATACATTGTTAGATTTCTGACTACATTCTATCTGACTTCCTGGTTTACAGTATACCTTCAGTATTTATGGCTTGGCTATTATTTTGTTTTCTGTTGAAAACAGTTGAAACCTTTTAATACATTATGATTTATTTATTTGGCGTGAAGGCCTATGCCTTGTAAATATGTTGGATTTTCAACCGCCATAATTTGAAATGTGAAGTTGCTGGATTTTAGCATCATTATTATCGTCAGCTACGAAAGAGGAAAGCTACTAAATACAAATACTTTGGTCATCTTTCCCAGAGACTGTGGAGATCAGCTTCTTTGCTGCCAGTTTAATAACGATGGGACCCGGGTTGCAGTAGGATTGCGTACTGGAGTCATTAAGGTCAGTGTCGGACAGGGAAAGAGGACAGTTCCAGAAACTAAGGTTATCTCCAAAGAAGCAATCAAAAAAGTCAAGAACATAGCCACACTCATGCAATTGAAGCTCCACCCCTTTTTCATATGTGTTCTATATGTTACATACAGTATATGTGTGTGTGATCTCAATTGCATAGCCACAGCTATCTTCTTAACTCTTTGACACACACATACACACACCACCAGCCGCAAACAGGTGCCATACTGGTTTTGGCCTCAATGTTCAGTAGCCTTTCCTTACCTGGCTCCCTCTCCCAGGTGTGCTACACTCCAAGAGGCTGCAAGATGGATATGGTTCAATTTCCATCTGAAAAGTAACAAGCTCAAAAGAGATTTTGAGTAGAGATTTTGAGCACCCATATCTGCCTGCTGGAAATCAAAAGGGCTGTCCCTTACAGCCAAGGGATGAGTGGGATCAAAGACTACAAAATTCTTTGCCCTTTCTTTTTTGGCATCTGATCCATCATCACAGATTTTCAGCACACTCAAAACATTCTGCACAACACTTGTTTCAAAATAAAATCATACAACAAATTAGACTGATCAGAGAATTAAATATATTTACCAAAGAGTAAAACCACCATGCTCTAAAGGATTTGCATCTAACAGAGAACTGAAATGAATGGCAATTTGATGAGCTCAGTTATCACTACAATTAGATCTCCAATTAATCATGTACCGTATAATAACACAAGTTGTCTAGTATCAAGGAGCCCCACTGGATCATTTAGCTTCATTCCTCCGGGATAAATAAACTGTGTTCTACACAGCATTCCTGAATTATCTCACCAACATTTGGCAATAAGCCTCTTTAGTTTTGGTTAATATGGTTCCTCCCTCCCTCTCTAAAACATACAGTATTCCAGTTATAAATCTTCAGACCTATATGATTACCCACACATTCAGACAAGGAAAGGATAGCTCCTGTCACAAAAAATGCTATTGACTTGTTGCAACTGTTCTCCAGGATCCCAGACAAACTGGTTCCCTGGATGGTGAGGATAGTGAATCTGGGTACTGGTATATCTTGGGAAATTTGCCAAGTATGTGCTGTACATTGAATCCATTCTATAGAAATGGAATCATAGTGCTGTTCAAAGAGCTGTTCTGTGCCATATTATCAGTTTCAGTTCCAAAGCTACAATTGTATAGAACATAGTTTCATGATATTTTCCTTGGGAAACACCTAGGTTCTCTTGGATTTCTATGGAATTGTCTTTCGCTTAATGGAAAGTAGCCATTTCTTCTAAATTGTTAACCTCCTGTGATCCTGCTATCTCTTCTCTCCTGTGCTCCTTTATTCTTGCCTGCTCTCAAGGTTTTGTGCTGATAATATCTTTATCTTCTCTCCTGTGCTTAAAGGTTTATTCTGTCAGTGATGGGTCACTTCATCACATTCTTGCTGATAATGACACAACATCCCTAGGACTTCCCACCACCTCACTGCACTTTATGCCCCGCGGACCTGCCCATAGTGGAGATGTCTTACTTACCACCTGTGAGTAACGCTTTTCTAATATGATGAAGTTAGATTTCAACTTCTTGGCACACAGTATTCATTTCTTTTTGTTTGGAGTATGCAAGATCCTTCATATTATTAAGCCTTCATAATAAATTAAATTATACACTTAATGAAGAGAAGGACTAGGGGTGACATGATAGTAATGTTCCAATATCTAAGAGGTTGCCACAAAGAAGAAGGGGGGGTCAACCTGTTCTCCAAAGCACCTGAAGGCAGGACAAGAAGCAATGGATGGAAACTAATCCAGGAAAGAAACAACCTAGAACTAAGGAGAAATTTCCTGACTATTAGAACAATTAATCAGTGGAACAACCTGCCTCCAGAAGTTATGAATGCTCCAACACTGGAAATGTTTAAGAAGAGACTGGACAACCATTTGTCTGGAACGGAACGGAACGGAACGGAACGGAACGGAACAGAACAGAATAGAATAGAATAGAATAGAATAGAATAGAATAGAATAAACAGAGTTGGAAGGAACCTTGTAGATCTTCTAGTCCAACCCCCTGCTCAGGCAGGAAACCCTATACCATTCAGACAAATGGTTGTCCAATCTCTTCTTAAAAATTTCCAGTGTTGAAGCATTCACAGCTTCTGGAGACAAATTGTTCCACTTGTTAATTGTTCTGTCAGAAAATTTCTCCTTAATTCTAGGTTGCTTCTCTCTTTGATTAGTTTCCATCCATTGCTTCTTGTCCTGCCCTCAGGTGCTTTGGGAAATAGCATGACTCCCTCTTCTTTGTGGCAACCCCTGAGATATTAGAACACTGCTATCATGTCACCCCTAGGGCTTCCTGCTTGAGCAAGGGGTTGGACTAGAAGACCTCCAAGGTC